ATGGACACAAAGATATATTTCAGTTTGCCAAGTGCCGGGAAATGGGTGACATCTGTTTGCCAGAGCACATTAGGTTTTAGTCCTCTGGTGTTGACTCCTGGGCCTTGTAAAGGAGGTACTTTTAAATAGGGCTGGCAAACCTTGCAGGTATGGGCTATCCTTTTTAGGTCTTTAATGGGAACATCAGGGAACTTACTGTGGAGCCCTTGCCAATTGACATGTGTGAGGTTATGGAGAGCACTGGCCTGTTGTGCCGTATAGGCGCCAACCCCGTGCGTCACCAGGCGATCAGCCGTGTCATTTCCTTGTGTTATAAACCCTGGTAGGCCTGTATGGCTGCGCACATGTTGAATGAATATGAGAGAACTTCTGCCTTCTAATGTCCCCTGGAGGGATACCATGAGCTTGGAGATGGGGTTAAAGTCTAGCTTAATATGGGCTTGGGGCAGGCCCAGGAGTAGGTTGACCATGTAGAGGCTGTCCAAGTATAAATTTAGAGGGGACTCAAGGTCCTGTAGTGCCATGAAGACTGCCAGAATTTCTTTGAATTGAGCCGAGCCCTCACAGGCCTGGGATCTCTGTTTAAGGGGTCCTTTATCTGTATGGGTCATAAAGGCAGCATAAGCGACCCCTGCACGGCCCCCATCTGTGAACACCTGTAAGCCATTGGGAATCGTAACATCTGAGAAAACTGAGGGTGGTTTGAACGGTAGTCTCTGCAGCATCAGGGCCCATTTAGAGGGCCCATAGTGGCAGCTGATATTTCCCATGTATCCTTCTAATGCAATTGCAAGTCTGGCATTGGCCCTTGCTAGCCAGCCAAAATCCGCAAGGCGGTAGGGAACGACAATTGTGTCAGGGTCCCTCCCAAACCTCCGAATAGCCAGATTTCTCCCTTTGGTTACCATGTCTGCCAACTGGTCTCCTAGGGTATACACCCTAGGGATGCCCCCAAGGGTGGCGTGCACCCACTCCAAGGGATCCTGCGTCTGGACCAAGGCTGCCATGGTCAGCCTGTTACCCATTAAGATCCATAAGTAGAAAGGGAGCTGTGAGGAGAACCTCCAAACGGAGGCCCCTGTATGCAATGCCTTTTGAAAGGCCTCAATCGCCTCCCAATGTTGCTTATCTAACAGTACCTTAGCACTTGGGGGACCCAAAGTTAGGAGCTGATAGAGGAGCTTTCAAGGCCTTAGCCAGTTTATCTCCCCTAGCAGATGTTGAATGTCAAGCACCATGGGCTCACATGGGATGTCCAAGTTCGGCATGAGGGGACTGGCTTTAGTCAGGAGCAGTTGGGAGCTCAAGATTTTAGAGGGCGGGACATGTTGGCTCTTTTCAGGGGCAACAGCGAGGCCCCGTCTCCTTAGGCTATCTAGCACTCTTTCAACAAAGGGCTGTAGCTGAGCTGCATCTAAATGTCCAATTATGAGATCATCCATACACAAGCAGAGCAACCCCCCCAGGTTCTGACATCAGGGGCTACAGGGCAGAGGCTAAAAAGGTCTGACAGAAAGCAGGGCTGTTCCTGGGGGAGAACCGTCCATTCAAATCTACTGTCAGGATTTTGATAATTTAAGGCCGGGATGGAGAAGGCAAACCTCACAGTCTCTTGGGTCTAAGGGGATGGAAGAGAAGCAATCTTTAATGTCAGCTATTGCTAATGTATACTCCACTGGGATTGCTGCCACCCAGGGCATTCCCCTCAGGGGGTGCCCGCCAGCTCCATTCTTTCATTGACTAATCTAAGGTCTTGTAGCATCCTCCATTTGCCAGAGGCCTTTTTTTATGACAAACACTGGGGTATTCCAGGGGCTTGTGGAAGGGCGAAGGTGCCTCGGTGCCCTTTGTTCCTCCACCAGTTGTGTAAGGGCTTCGAGTTTTTCTTTGGTTTTTGCCAGAGGCCTTTTTTATGATGAACACCAGGGTCTTCCAGGAGCTGGTGGAAAGGCAAAGGTGCCCCAGCGTCCTTTGTTCCTCCACCAGTTGTGTGAGGGCTTCGAGTTTTTCTTTGGTCAGAGGCCACTGTTCCACCCAAACAGGGCTTCCCTCTTTCCATTTAATACAAGGGACATGGGGGGGCAGTGGCCTTCAGTATTGGGGGTGAACCTGGGGAATTTTGTCGGGCTCACCTCTGTAATTATGAAAATATGAAAACTCATTTTTTGAAACATCCTCAACCCCTTGAGGCAATCGGTTAGCCTCTTCCTGGTCTAGGAGATCCTCATAAAAGGCTCTATTATCCGTGGTCAACACGGCGTTCATGTGCCCCAAAAGGTCTTGTCCCAGCAAGTTGGACTGGAGGCTGCTGACCACTAGTGGTCGTATTTCCTCTCTTGACCCACCTGTATCTCTCCATTCTATGAACTCCTTTACCTCCTCTGATCTGGAAAGCCCCGCAACCCCCAGCACTTTTGGGCTGGGTTGCAGCTTCCATGAGTGTGGCACCTCCTCCTTCCGCAGTATTGTGCAGTTGGCGCCAGTATCTACTAGGCAGACGAAATATGAGGGACATGGGGGGCAGTGGCCTTTAGTACTGGGGGGTGAACCCAGGGAATTTTGTCGGGCTCACCTCTGTAATTATGAAAATTTGAAAACTCATTTTTTGAAACATCCTCAACCCCTTGAGGCAATCGGTTAGCCTCTTCCTGGTCTAGGAGATCCTCATAAAAGGCTCTATTATCCGTGGTCAACACGGCGTTCATGTGCCCCAAAAGGTCTTGTCCCAGCAAGTTGGACTGGAGGCTGCTGACCACTAGTGGTCGTATTTCCTCTCTTGACCCACCTGTATCTCTCCATTCTATGAACTCCTTTACCTCCTCTGATCTGGAAAGCCCCGCAACCCCCAGCACTTTTGGGCTGGGTTGCAGCTTCCATGAGTGTGGCACCTCCTCCTTCCGCAGTATTGTGCAGTTGGCGCCAGTATCTACTAGGCAGACGAACCTCTTGTCCCCCCAAAAGATATGCATCTTAGGCCTTACTCCCTCATACATTGGAACTGTCCAGTGAGCCTGTGAACTCTGTAAACCTGGACCTCCTAAACCTCCTTTGGCTGACGGGGCTAGAGGCCGCCCCATAATTAGTTTAAAGGCTTGCCTGTCACGTCAAACCTCGACCTGCAGTCTTTCTTCCAATGGAACCCTTTTCTACAATGGGGGCAAGGAGTAGTCGGCTTGCTTGCCCTTGATCCTCCCGCCTCCCTGCTTGGGACCTGGGGAGGACTTCCTCTGGACAGTCTCTCTTAAAATGTCCTAGTTTCCCACACCAGAAACAGCCCCCATTCCCTTTGGGGATGTGATGAGCCTGCAGGCCCTTAGGGTCTCCTCGGACAGCAATGAGCACCTGAGTAAATGCATCGGTTAAGGAAGCCGTCTGGGCTTGGAGCTCATGGGCCAAGGTTTGAGATTGGTGTTGATTCGTTCCAACATCCTGGGAGGACACGACCCACCCACTGATCGAAGCATGTTTCAGACCCGAACAGGCAGCTTGGTGGTCGGAGTTCATGCCCTCCCACACCAGCACTTGAGTAAACTCGTCCCTGAGTGCCCCAGCGGGTAGCTTTCTAATAAGGCTCTTCTCCACCCTATCCACAAATTTGGCAAGACCCTCCCCAGGCTTCTGCCTTAGGCCCACCAAGGGGTCCTCTGACGGTCCTTCATTGAGCTTCTTCCAGGCCACCAGTCCCACCCACCTTACTTGGTCCCTATACGGGGCAGGCAAGGCCGCCTGCTGTGTCCCTGTGGAATAACCATCAGCGGTACCTGCCAGCTGGCCGTAGGTAAAAGGGATTTGAGGGTTAACTGTGTGATTTTGTTCTGCTATGATCCTACATTCCTCCTTATACAAGGCCAGCCATTTGATGAAGAGGGGACTGGGGAGGACGGCCCTAGCCATATCAGTCCAATCCCTAGGGACACAGGGGTGGTGGGCGAGGTTCTCCAGTAAAGCCTCAGCCCATGGTGAGTTGGCGCCGTCCTGGAGGATTGTTTGCCTTAGTTCCTTGAGGTCCTTAGCCTCCCACGGATACCAGTCTGCTGGCCTCTGTGGCCCTGGGACTAAGTTGACCGGGAATGCCCTGCATGGGGTGGTGGATGGGTGCTGCACCCTCACTGGAAAGGCATCAGTGTACACTGGCTCTTCCGAGGCTGAGGGGCCGGGGGGGGGCACTGCCTCCTCCCTTCCCCCCAGCGAAGAGGCTCACACTGATCAACCCGCCGATAGGCTGGGAGCCTCCTGAGATCTTCATCCTTGTCAGGGAGTGGGGGGCCCCGATCCGTCTCCTCAGGCTCGCACCCGGTATCCCCTTTTTCCCGGGCCTCAACTGTCAACTGAGCTTTAATATCCACTGCTAGCACATCAACAGGGTCCCCTTGGGCCCAGGGCTCCTGTCTTTCCTTGTCAAACATGGCCCAATCGTCCTCATTTCCTCACTCTTAACCCCCTGCCTTTGCCTCCCCCCCTTTCCTTTTGTAAGTTGAGGGGAGAGAGGCATCTCTGGGTGGAAGATGCCCTTAAGGGCGGCCATCATGGGATAGAACCCTAGTGGGCGTTCCACCCCAAAGTGCCTCTCCCGTTCTCTCGCCAGCCCCAACCCTTTCCCACGTGTCCCAGGAGAATAGGTTGGCCATGGGGGCCAGTGGAGCCAAGAGAAGTACCGTATCCCAAACGTGGCATGCCATGGTGTCTGAAAGCTCCAGCCCGCGGCTTTTGAGCAAATATCATAGGGCTTTCACGGCAGGCTCATTTCTTCCTGAAGTTGCGTTACCCATACTAAGGGTTTCACTTATCCCGAGATCCCGATTGGCCTCGACTGAAACTCTGCACTAGTTCCTCACATGGGGCACCAGATGCCATGGTCTCTGAACCCCTTCGTCTTGGGCTGAGGAACGAGAGGCTGTGGTGATGGGGGTCGAGAAGGGGGAAGTGCACTGCCTGCCCGTTTTGCCAGCCCTTCTCTCTGAGGACAATCAGACGTGGCAGCGAGTCGCTTCAAGCAGGAAACTCATTTACTGGCAAGGCTGATCAATATTTAAGAGCAAAAGCCACAGGTATTAGCATAGGCGGGAAAGCCATCATCTGATCAGCTTAGAGGTCACATATGCCATGCAGGCTCTTCTCATAGTATAATATATTGTTCACGAGGTAATCACACGTCCTTTACTGGCTAGGCTCCAACCAGTATTACTTCCTCTTTTTGTGGTGCAGCCAAGCTGGCCAGCTGGCTCTGCCTTCACCTCAGCTGCTCGGCACCATCTTGTTACCACACCTCCACAGTTACCTTCAAATTCCTGAAAAAACAGGAACCTATAATAGCCAAAACAATCTTGAAAAAAAAATGACATTGAAGAACTTGCATCTCTTAACTCAAAACCTTACTAAAGTGCTGTAGTTATCAAGACAAGGTGACACTGGCATAGGATAGACTTACCAATTACAGAAATAGAGTTTTGATTCCAGAAATAAATCCAGGTATTTAGGGCCATGAATTTTCACAATCATCAATGGGATTAAAAAAAAATCTATTCTGTAGTCCCAGCACTTGGGAGGCAGAGGCAGGTGGATCTCTGTGAGTTCAAGGCCAGCGTGGTCTACATAGTGAGTTCCAGGACAGCTGGGGCTACAGGGAGACCCTGCTTCAAAAAGACAAAAAAACAAAAACAAAAACGACACACCAAAAAAAAAACCCATAATCTTTTAAATAAACAGGGGTTAAATTAAATGTCTATCAAGAATATATAAAGAACTCTTCATGGGCTGGAAGCACAGTTTAGTGGCAAAGCACTTGCTTATAGGCACAAACCCCTGGGTTCCTGACCTTCATGGAAACACATTTCAACTCTTAAAAACAAAGGATCAACTCATGCTTTCCCCTGCCCCTGTCGCCAAGCTTTCCAGATCAATAATGAAAGGATGAGTTGAGTAAAATATAAGCAAAGTATCTGAATAGGCATTTCTCCAGAGAAAATACATAAATGGCCAATACTTACATGAAAAGATGATCAGCTTCCGCCACAGAAAGACAAATCAACGACCTGAAACACCATTTCACACCCATTAGGATGGATAATATTAAAAAAAAATAAGCCAAAAATGCACAAATCTGTCAAGATGTGCAGAAATTCAAAACCTCATGTATTGCTGCTGAATGAGAGGGGTACAGTCCTTTTAAAGTAAAGCCTATGAGGTTTTTAAAAAGCTAAAACATGGTCTGGAGAGATGGCTCAGAGGTTAAAAGCACTTGCTGCTCTTGCAGAGGACCCCACTTCAGTTTCCAGTATCGACATCAAGTGGCTCACAACTGCCTATAACTCCAGCTCTAGGGGATCCAATGCCCTCTTTTGGCTTCCAAGGGCATCTGCACACATGTATGCATACCCACATACATACACATACATATAATTTAAAAATTAAAAATATTATCTTTTTGAAAAGTTTAAACAGAGTTACCCTATGATCTGATCCTTCTACTCCTACTTATATTCCCAAGGGAAGTATAAATGTCTTCACAAAAATTTATACATGGGGGCTGGAGAGAGTAAAATGCTTATTGCATAAACATGAAGCACTGAACTGGGATCTCAGCACCCACTTAAAAGCTGGGCATGGCAGTGTACTCCTGTAACCCCAGTGCTGGGGGCAGGCAAAGACAGGTGGATCTTAGAGACTTACTGGCCAGCCAGCCAGCCTAGCCAAAACTGTGAGATCCAGGTCAATGAAGGACCCTGAGTCAAAATATAAAGTTGAAAACAATAAAGACACTTAATGCCTACCTCTGGCCTCCACATGCCCCACCACATTATATGTGAATGTTCTTAGCTGCAATATTTATAATAGTTAAAAGGTGGAAACAACCCAGCAATGTCTATGAACTGACAGGTGGAGAAGCATATTTGGTACATCTGTATTATGGGGCTGTATTTTTCTACACAAAGGAATGATACATTGCAGCCACAGATACTAACACATGTGAACCCTGAAAACATTCTACATGAAAGCTTACATCTTATCAGATTTCATTTACACAAAATAGGTCATTCTACAAAGAAAGAAAGTAGATACTTAGGGTCAGGCTGGGGTACGATGGGTAGTTGGAAGTGAGGGTTAAAGGGCACAGTTTCTTTTGGGATGATGAAAATGTTCTAAACACATCAAAGAGATTATTGCAAAACTGTGGCTATCCTGTAAACTACTGAGCAGTACATATTAAAGGGGTGAATTATATGATGCACAAATTAAATGTTGATAAGGCTATAGCAAGAAAAAATAGAAAATAGAAAGAATACTGTACCAGATAATGTAGGCTGGATGTGTTAAGTTCAGGAGTGCTTCTGAACTTCTCGCTGCCTTACTTTCTCCATAAGAAATGTAGGGAATCGTTTCTACCTCATGGGGTTGGAAAGATTGAAATGTAATACCGAAAATTAATGGAAACTTTTCTCTGTTATGAGGTGAGATGAAGGAATGTGGTTTAATTAGTATATCTATTTAGAAATAAATGCATAAATGGGGGGTTGAATTAAAAAATTGAGCCTGTCATAGAAATCATTTTATAGTCATGTAAACCTATGAGTTTTAGTGGCACCTTTAAAAAGATACTATCTATAGTGACCACATACATCTTTTTATTTTTAAATTTAATTTTTATCATTTTTATTTTATGTGTATGTTATTATGCCTGCATGTATGTAAGTGCACCATGTGCGTGCAATACCCATGGAGGCCAGAAGAGAGGGTCAGACCTCCTGGAACTGGGTTTACAGATAGCTACAGCTGCCGTGTGGGTGCTGGGAAAGGAAGTCGGGTCTTCTGCAAGAGCAGCCAGTGTTCTTAACCGCTGAGCCATCTCTCCAGCCCCTACTTTTTTTTTTTTTTTTTTCAGTTATGAACTGTGCAGTCCTTGCTGGCGTGGAACCCACAGAGATCCGCCTGCTTCTGCCTCCACAGTGTAGTGTTGGGATTAAAGGCACGTGCCACCACATATGGGATAAAACAATAGCATGCGAAGTCTGACTTCTGAGCCTCATTTATATTTTCCTCTTCAGTAAAATGCAAATCAAGTGCAACAAGTTAAGGTCTATGCAATGGAGTAGAAACCACCTCACCAGAATACAGCGAGACACACAAATACTGGAATTTAGGCCATGTAGCTATCTCCAAACCTCAGGGATTTCTATTCCGGTTCAATTTCTTTCTTAACGAACCTCTCTCCTAGTTTGACCCTCAGGACTGCCGTTGCTGCAGTCTCAGGCGCATGCTCCGAAGCCAGCTGACCTTTGCGTCTGCGTTGATTGCCCTACATCATGGCGGCTCGTAGCGTGGGGCTGCTGACCCGTTTACCCCTGTGCTCTCAGAGACCGGCCCAAGTCCCGCGACCGGCTTTCAGGCTCCTTAGTTGTCCAGGGACTGTGGCGGCGGACGTCAGGAGTGAAGAGCAGCCTCCCGACTGCCGGAAGGCGGGTGAGCGCGGCGCGCGTAGCGCGCTGAGGAGAGGGAGACGGAGAGCTGGGCCCGGTGCGGGGGAGACCGGAGACCCGTGCGGCGGTGAACGGGGCCGGAGAGGAGAGGAGGAGAGAGGGCCGGGTGCGGGGGTGAGCGAGCCGGAGGGAGGAGGCGAGAGGGGCCGGAGGAGCGGAGCCGTCCCCTCTCTTGGGGCCAGGCCGCTTGGTCTCCGAACCCCAGATGAGTGTCCTCACTGGTCTGGGGACTCTGTTGACAGCATTAACATCGCTCAGGCCGGGAACCCAACTGCTAGCGTTTTGCTGTGTCGATGACAATAATCAATAATGCCAGATGTGGAGCTATTCTTCGTTAGTGTATCTGCTTTGATGTCTAAAAGATGTCGCTCAAGGCCAAATACACTAAAGCCCAATCACAAAAATTTTGCATCAAGCTTGTGAAAAAAATGTATTGATTTCTGGAACTTATTCGAGTTTCAAGACATGAAATTATTTCTAAAGTGTACTAAGAAAGTGAAATACTTCCCCTAAAATAAATTGCAGTCTTCATCATATTGAATGACAGACCTCAATTGACAGAGAATGAGAAATACTACCTTAAATGTCATGTCATTGAAATATACATTGGAATGTATTTAGCAGAAGCTACTGAAGTAATCCTTGCCTGTTCAATAAGATTGTACCAGAGAGGCTATTGCAGGTTAACATTCCTGTGGTGGCTTAAGTTTAAGAGCATTATGACGTGCTCTTTGGGACACAAGGTGATCGGATGAGTAGGTACAGAAGGAATTTTCATTATTATTCCATAATTTTTTCCCCCATTTTCTTTGTGTGTGTGCATTTTTGCATGTCTTTGGGTGCATGTACATTTGTGTACAGGTATATGTCGAGGTCCAAGCTTGATGTGGGGAATCATCCTCTTCACTCTTCCACCCTCCTCATTGAGGCAGAGTTTCTTAGTCAAATCCAGAGCTTGCAGATATGGCCTCTAGTCTCCATATGCTCTAAGGGCACCATAGGTTGGAATTACAGGTGGCTCACTATGCCCACCCTGGACTTGCTTGGATTCTGGGGATGTAAACTGTGGTTCTCTCATTTACATGGCCAGAGCTTTAACCATTGAGTCTTGTGGCCAAGCCTGGTGACTCAAGTTCAATCCTTCTTAACCACACAGCAGAAGAATAGAACTGACTCCAGGAAGTTGTCCTCTGACTGCTACATGTGTGTGCCTTGGCATAGGCGTCTACCCACATGTTACACACTAAAGTATACATTAAATTGATTAATTAATTAATAAGTAAGTTTTAGAAATATGCGATAATGGAATTGTTTCAGTCATATATAGTCTTTGTATACTTTATCAATATATGTTTAAAATTTTGTTTTATTTTATTGGGCTTTTAGAGACAGCGACTTCCTATAGCTCCAGCTGGCCTGGAAATCACTATGTAGACCAGGCTGGCCTTGAACTCACAGAGATCCCTCTGCCTCTGCCTCTCAAGTGCTGAGATTAAAGGCGTGCGCCATCACGCCTGGCATGTTTAAAATTTTATGTGTGTATGTAATAGAAATATTTTTTTCATCTGTAGGCTCTGAAGACAAGGCTCCCAAAAAGAGATTCTCTGAGGTGCAAAAAGAAAGAAGAGAGCAGGCCCAGAGGACTGTCCTAATACATTGTCCCAGTAAAATCAGTGAGAAAAAGTTTCTCAAGTATTTATCCCAACATGGACCAATTAATAATCATTTCTTCTATGAGAGCTTTGTATGTATCTAAAAAATATCTAACATGGTGTTTGTGCTTCCGAAGGATAGCTATTGTTTTTTGTAGTGTGTAGCCTTAGATCTTCCATTATTCTACCTACTCGCTTATCTTATCTGCATTTCTTTAAGGAGGCTTCCCCCCCTTGGAAATGAGCATAAAAACCCTTATTGCAGTACTTTGGAATTATAGCTGGAATGTAGCTCAGTGGTCAAGCACTTGCCTAGCATGCTCAACACCCTGGGTTCAGTCCCTAGCACTGGGGGAAGAAAAAGAAAAAAGCTAGATTTTTTAGTGATTGGTGGTGGAATGGTCCCATTGTCTATTTAATACTGTAGCTAATGGTCAGAAGGAGGGGATCTTAGTTTTGTTCTTTGGTTTCCTGTTTCAGCATTCTTTTCAGTGTCTCTGGCTGATACCACTTTAATGTTCCTTTTCCTAATTTACTTGTAATCGGTAGACTCAATGCTCATGTTAGAATCCTATCATTTATAAATTCTAGAAAGTGATATTTTGTAACTCTAGGGTTCTATGTTCGTGCTGTTAGATATCATTGTGAGATATGTTCTTTTTCTTCCTGATGTTTTTGGTATAGGGTCTCTATGCTGTTGTAGAATTTTGCCAGAAAGACAGTATAAACTCATTGAAGAATGAAACTCATACTCCATGCCTGGACACAGAGGCTGTGATTCCATTCAAGTCACGTTTCTTCAACTTAAAGCTGAAGCATCAGTCAAACCGGATTTCTGAACCGTTATGTACACAGTCCAGCAGCCAGTCTCCCCCTTCAAGCAAGAAGCTTTTTGAATTACTGAATTATGCAGAAAGCGTAAGTTTATGTGCACACTTCAACTTTAGAAAAAAATTACATGAATTATTTGTGTGTAGTGCTCAGATGCATTTTGCTTACTGGGTATAGAGTTTTAGTTTTACAAGATGAGGGGAGTTAGAGGTGAATGGAGATGGTGGCTGTGCAGCAGTTTAAAGAAGTGAATGGAGACGGTGGCTGTGCAGCAGTTTAAAGGATGGGTTTCTCTATCCAGCTTTCCAAAAATCCATCAGATTCAGCCTATCAGGTAGGTGCTGAGCTTGAGTATTTGGGATGATCTTGAAATGACTCTGGTTTTCCTCCTGATTCTTTCAAAGCAGTGAATTATAGCCATAGATATCCTGGTGGCAGGCCTTTCTTATATTCACAGAGTGAATAAATTAGTCAAGGTGTATTTTAAAACACATTCATATATTTACTTAGCTATTTTTTTTTTTAATGATTCTAGTATTAATTGGGCTGGAGAGATGGCTCAGTGATTAAGAGCGTTGACTGCTCTTGCATACAACCCAGTTTCAGTTCTCAGCACCCACATGGTGGCTAACAATAGTCTTTAACTTCAGTGCCAGGTGATCGGATGCCCTTTTCTGACATCCGCTGGTATAGCACAGTACTAGTGCACCTACCTACACGAAGGCATACACTCATACACATAAAAGTAATAAAATATTGAAAAAATAATTCTAGTATTAATCTAGTAGTAGGTGGAATTGCTTTAAAAAATTCATATTACTCAGGAGCTGGGGTGATGGCTCAGTCTTTAAGAGTCCTTGCTGCTCTTGCAGAGGACCTAAGTTCAATTTCCAGCACTCACAAACCACCTGTAACTAGTTCCAAGAGGTCTGACACCCTTATCTGGCCTCTACAGGCAGTTGTGCTCACGTACACACACACACGATTAAAATATATACTATAGAATTTGCTGAATGAAGAGTAAAGGTAATCCTCCTCCACTGAGTCCCAGCCCAGACCCATCAGGCTCTTCACAAGTGACCATAGGCTGCCACAGTTTGGGACCCTGTGGACAATACAGATTTTCTTTCTCTTTTTAAAATAGCAACATAGGGGCTGGAGAAATGGCTCAGTGGTTAAGAGCACTGATTGCTCTTGCAGAGGACCCGGGTTCGATTCCCAGCACCCACATGGCGGCTGCGACCCCTCCTTAACTCCAGTTCCAGGGGACTCCGAAGCCCTCTTCTGATCTCCGCTGGCATTGCACGACCTGGGTGCACTTACATACATGCAGGCAATACGCTCATACTCATAAAATAAAAATAATAAAATATTAAAAGAAATTAAATTTGCAATGTAAAATTTTACATGATATTCCATAAATGCTAAAGTAGCTTATTTCTAATTGTATAGTACTATTTTTTCTAGTACTGTTTTTTCTTTCTTAGACATATCAAACTTTTAGTTTAGTAGTGTTTAAAAAAATCAATTCTTTTTACTTATCAAAATGGTGGGGTTTTTTGCAAGGCATGGTGGCATATGCCTTTAATCTCGGCACTCCTGAGGAGAGGCAGGCAGATCTCTGTGAGGTTGAGGCCAGCCTTTCTATATAGTGGGGCCAGCTGGAGCTCCAGGGAGACCCTATCTCAAAAGATAAAAAAAAAAAAAAATACTATTTCTTGGTTTAATCTTCGACATTCTAAAATTTTACTTCTCATCTTACACGTTTCTTTCACTTTTGTTTGTTTTTTGAGTTCGGTGCTTAATTCTATTACTTTCAATCCTGTTTTCAAATAAAGATATTGAGTCAATTCTAATGCAGTTTTTAGAGTCTGATTATTTTAACCTCTTAACATCAGCCTTCTAAGGAATCAGTGGGATCATAAACACATCTGGGGCTTCATTGCTTCAATTCTAATGTTTCCTGCCCTTTGCTCTTGGATTCCCCTCCAGCTCTTGTCAGTGTTTGCACCTCTTTTGGAGTACTTTATTACTTTCTTTTTCCTAAAATAGTACTTTGTACTTATTTCTTACAAAAAGTAATAATTTTAATTCTAACCAAGTTTTGTTTTCCTAGTGTCATTTCTGAGTGCTTTTAAGAGTATTTATCTGTTACTAAGGGCCTGCGGATGTTCAGTGGAAAAAGTGCTTGCTATGTAAGCATAGGGGCCTGAATTTGGATCTCTAACACCCACATAAAAACAGGCAACTGTAACCTCAGTGCTGTGGGAAGGGAATTGGGCAGAGACAGGTAGATCACCATAGATAGCTCCCTGGACATCCAGTCTAAACTTAGAGCTGAAAATGAGTTATTTGACATGACCTGTACAGCTTTGTGTTTTGTTGTCTTGTTTTGGCCAGCTAGATGGATGATCAACTGAACACTCTCCTGAAGGCGTTCCAGCTGACAGAGGAGAATATCAAACTCCGATATCTCACCTGCTCTCTCATTGAGGACATAGCGGCCGCATACTTTCCCAGCTGTGTCGTCTGGCCTTTTGGCTCCTCAGTGAACAGTTTTGGGAAATTAGGATGTGATTTGGACATGTTTTTGGATCTAGATGAAATTGAAAAATGTGATGTTCATAAGGTAATTATATTTCTTTGCACCATTATAAAAAATTAGAAAAAGGAAAATCTTTAAAACTAATAAAATTATAATTAGTGATTTTAAGACTTAAAGTTATGTGGGTACTGGGGATTGAATTTATGTCCTCATGATTGGCTGGCGCCAGCAGTTTACCAACTGAGCTATCTCTGAACTTCTGATGGGTACTGAGAAGTTCCAGAAGCACTATTCCACTTTACCTTCTGATGATGTGAGTGCCTTTCCCTGTACTTGCCAGTGCTGGCAGCCTGCTTGCATTTTTCAGACTGGCAAATGAAAAGTGTCATTGTCACTCTAATTTCTTCCTTAGTCTCTAGGAAACATGTGCATCTTTGTGTTTATTAGCTATTACTGCTTCTGCAAGTTTCTTTTTTCTTAAGACAGGCTCACTGTGTAGCCCATGGTGACCTGAAATTCGTGATTCTCCTGCCTCAGCCTTCTGATGAAAGCTTGTGCTGCTGTGCCCAACTTCTTTTCATTTCCTAGTCAAGGCTTTAAAAAATTTTTTCCCATTAAAAAGGTTTGGTGTTTTTCCTGTTTGATCTGTATGCACTCTTCATCAGTGAGTCCTTTGTGTGGCACATGCTGTTGTTTGTCTTTTTTTTTTTTTTTTTTTTTTTTTTTTTTAAAAAATGGGGAAAAAAAGGGGGGGTTAGTTTTTTAAAAAAAAAAAAAAAAAAGGAAGTGGAGTTGTGCTTGTTAACTACCATGTGGGTGCTGGGAACCGAACTCTGCAAGAGTAGTCAATATTCTTAACCGCTGAGCCATCTCTGTAGCCCCTGCTTTGTCTTTCAAGGAATAAATGTGTGCTTTGCCTTAATACGGCTTTGACTTTCATGCAGTCACATTAATTTGCTTTCTATAATTTTATGATGTGCTTTAAGAATCGTTTTCTGTTGTATTGTAAAATGTTCACTTGTTTCCCAGGCTTTGGCTTTATTTATTTATTTATTTAATTTATTTTTTGGTCTTTTTGAGACAGGGTCTCCCTGTAGCCCCAGCTGTCCTGGAACTTACTATGTAGACCAGGCTGGCCTTGAACTCACTGAGATCCACCTGTTTCTGCCTCCCAAGTTCTGGGATTAAAGGTTTTTATGTTTTTTTTAATGGTTTACATTTGTTATGCATGTTGAACTTCAGCTTTAAAACTAAATTACAACTCTAGTTTACTTTTTTTTAACAGTTATTTGACTTTTGTTGAATAGGAGAAATTTCCCAGTAATTTGAAATTTATTTTATTAAATAAATAATTAGATTTCTGTATTTAAGGAAGTCTGTGTGTTTTGTTTCTCCTCTTGATCTGCTGCTCTTGTGCCCATGCTCTCCCCTACTAGTGCAAGCTTAGTATTTATTGAGACATAATAGCTAACTAGGGAAGGGCAGGTGCTTGTTTGGAGTCTCTGTGGAATAAGTGAATCTATGTGTATTATCACCCCATGTACATACCAGACCATGGTGCATAGTTATTAAAAGTCAGTGATTGTGCAAGTTAGTGCTTTATATTTTCTAGACAGAAGGCCACCAAACAACTTTAAAGTGTGCTTTGCTATGGTTGTCTGAAAGATTTTTACTGATTTTTTTTTTTTTTTTACCAGAAATTATTTAGACTTTTAAGTTTTAGGACATTCATTCCTGAAAGCTTATTAATAGATTCCTTTTTGCCAGATGTGATGATGCATACCATTAATCCCAGCACTCAGAGGTGGTGGCTGTCTTGAGTTTGAGGCCAACCAGGGCTACATAGTAAGACTTTGTCTCAAAAAAAAAAAAAAAAAAATTCCTTTTTATAAAAAAACTCATAATTATCAATGTTTTTATATTCAGAATGTAGGGAATTTTTTGATGGAATTTCAAGTGAAAAATGTTCCTTCAGGAAGGATTGCAACTCAGAAGATCCTGTCTGTGATTGGAGAGTGCCTTGACCACTTTGGCCCTGGTTGCGTGGGTGTTCAGAAAATTCTCAATGCTCGGTGTCCACTTGTCAGATTCTCTCACCAGGCCTCAGGATTTCAGTGTGATTTGACTACTAACAATAGGTATGACCTTCTAACTTTATTCACATAAATGGGAATATTCTAAGGCATTGGGTTAACTTTTCTTGTATAGAAACAGTAGCTCTGAACTCTTTCAGACATGCTTGTGTGTGTGTATGTGAGAGAGAGAGAGAGACAGAGACAGAGAGACAGAAAACAAGAACTTACTGGATGTGATACCTGCTTAGCAAGTTCTAGTGAATTTGAGTTTGGGTCAGGAGGATTGTGTTTGAGGCCACCCCAGGCTACATGCCTGAGCTATTAAAGCAAAACTTTTCTCAAAAATATTTTTTTTAAAAAATTGAGCAATTAGATTAAAAAGTAGGAAATACCTTTTAGTATACTTCTCAGTATGCTCTTAAAATATCAGAGTATTGCTGGGCGTGGTGGCGCACGCCTTTAATCCCAGCACCTGGGAGGCAGAGGCAGGTAGATCTCTGTGAGTTCAAGGCCAGCCTGGTTTGCATAGTGAGTTCTAGGACAGCTGGGGGCTACAGGGAGACCCTGTCTCAAAAAGATCAAAACAAAACAAAACAGCCAGGCAGAACTGCCTGAAAATGTTAACAGTAAAATACTGTTCTTACCCATGTTGCCTAATAGTATGAAAAATAACTGTTATTAGAAAACAAAATAGCACTTTGACTTTGACCTTTGAATGTCTCTGCGCATTGTTAGTGTTGCACACTATCACGTGTATGATGATTACTTGGGTGAGAAAGTGCTGGAAACAGCTTAAAGACGGAACAATTTTATTTCTGTGCATTTCCATCGTGGTATCCTAGCTACTTGATAGTTAGAAAAAAGTTGGGCTGATGACACGTTCTTTTGTACTCTGAATACTTTTCCTATGTTCACCTTAAAAGACTTCTAAATTCAGGAATTTATTCCTTTCATTAGCATTTTTGCTTAAATTTGAGTTTGCTGTTATTTATTAGATGAGTAATTATAATTGAAAGTAAATCAGAAAATCCAATGTAGAGCAGTTTTGCCTAAACTAAAATGTTAAATATAAGCTAATGCTAAGTACTTTCGAATTGCCATCAAATAACACGTGGTTTAAAGTCCTTATTTTTTTTATTTTTTCTAAATTTAATACACACACACACACACACACACACACACACACACAGAACACCTCTGATGACAGTTTTTTCTCCAGTTACGTAAAATAAGACAAAATGACATCTTTGTGATTGCTGGGGACTCAAACCCGCGACCCCTGGCAAGGTGAGGATTGGGGATGAGTAAGCACGCCTTTCGCCAGTCCAGCCGCCCCCATTACCCAGGGACACTCAGACCAACAGGGAGCCTAGTCAAGCTGGCACTCATTTTATTGCAGGTGTTACAAAGCTTATAAAGAAAGGCACCTGAAACTCCCCCCTCCCCCCCTGAGAGTGTATCTTAAGGATGGTCTCGAGCTGATCATGCACTCCTCAGCAGTGCGGAAGTATTCTTCAGACTTTCAAAGCAAGCCAGGCCACGCCCCTAGTATCTTCCTTTCAGACCTATGCAAGGTGGGGCTTTTAGGTCCCCACATGTGATGTTATTTTCTTTGTCATATTGAGACTGGTTTTTAAGAATTTGTTTTCTGCAGGTTTTTATATTTTTTCTACATGCCTTTTTGAGGTTTCTATGTGCTTTTTAAGTGTTTCTTTATATCAGATACCTCACCTGATTTTATTTTTTAGCTTAATTTAGCTTTAGTTTAATATATAAAACTTTTAATCCTTGTTGTCTTTAAACACCAGCTTAAGCACCACAGTGATATTTTAAAAGTTTAAATAGATACTATTAAGTGATTTTTGTGCCTTCTGTTAGTTCTTTGAGAAATTATAAGATACTCTTTGGTCAGTAGAAACTTAATTTAAAAATATTTCTGGCTGGGTGTGGTGATGCACGCCTTTAATCCCAGCAGAGGCAGGTGGATCTCTCTGAGTTCAAGGCCAGCCTGGTCTACATAGTGAGTTCTAGGCCAGCTAGTGCTACAGGGAGACTCTTGTCTCACAAAAAAAAAAACCAAACAAACAAACAAAAAAAAAATTTTTTTTTTGGTTCTTGATCTTTGAATTTATATATTGATTGGGAATTTTGTTAGAAATGGCTTTTTAAGCTGGATCTCCCTCACTTCCTTTCAATAATGAGCTCTCTGTTGCTGAGGCTGGTCTCCAACTCTTGGGTTTAAAGAGATCCTCCAAACTTAGCCTCAGTAGCTTGGACCACAGGCATGTGTCACCATGCCATGCATGACTATAAAGTTTGATGTTTGAAAAGAGCTATTTATTTTATGTGTATGAGTGTCTACCTGAGTATATGTATGTATACCACATGTATGCCTAGTACCTGCAGAAGCCAGAAGAGGGCATCAGATCCCCTGGAACTGGAGTTACAGTTAGTTGGTTATGAGCTGCCATGTGAGTGGTGGGAATTGACCCTAGGTCTTCTGCAAGAGCAACAAGTGTTCTTAAGTGCTGAGCCATCTCTCCAGCCCCAAACTTTGATTTCTTAACAGGCACTTTATCTTCAAGCAGTTTTTTTTTTTCTTTTTTTTTACGTTTGGCTTGAGTAATTTTGACTGCTTCACAAACTATTAAGAATTCCAAGTAGTTGCTTTCATGATCAAATGATTAGAATATTCTGTTTACTTCAACTTGTTTCCAGAGGACTGGATAAGTAAGAAGTGAGACTTGAGTGCAGAAACATCTTCCAGTGTCTGTCTCTAGTGATGGCTATGAAGAGCCATTGGACATTTCCCTTATTATTTAAAGATCACATTTAGGAACTTCGACTTAATAAAAAAAAAATCCTAAGTTTAAGAACTTCATTATATTTTATTTATTAAAATAAACATAATTTTAATCTGCATAAGTGTATTGCCTGCATGTAAATGCAGCTATGTCATGCATTGCGTGAGAGGTCAGAAGAGGGTATAGGATCCCCTGGAACGATAGTTATGGACTGTTGTTAGCTGCCATGTGGGTGCTGGGATTCAAACCCAGGTCCTCTGCAAGAGCAGTCAGTGCTCTGAACTTTAAGCCATCTCTCCAGCCCTATGATTGTCATTTTTTTTAAACTTTTTAAAAAAAAATTTTATTTTTATTTTATGTATATGAGTGTTCCGCCTGCATGTAGGTAAGTGCACCCATGTTGTGCAATGCCCATGGAGGACAGAAGAGGCTGTCAGATCCCCTAAAACTGGAGTTATGGACAGTTGATAGCTGCCATGTGTGGGCTGGGATTTGGACCTAGGTCTTCTGCAAGAACAGGCAGTGTATTTAACCTCTGAGCCATCTCTCTAGCCTGATTGTCATTTTTTAAGAAAGTTTCATTGACAGTATTTTGATATTCAAACATTTATAATTAAATTGAATATTGTAAATGCATATGGGGTTGGTGTGTTATTTGTTAGTTGGTTTTGAGACAGGGTAGCCTCAAACTTGCTGTGAAGCTGAGGCTGACCTTCAGCTCCTGAGCCCCTTGCCTCCATCTGCTAAATAGCATGATTTGCAGGTATTTGCCACCACATCTTGCTGCATAATGCTCTTGGTTTAATCATGGTGTTTAGAATGTACCAGAAACAGTAAGATACTTAGATCTGTTTCCAGATGTGTATTTTATGACTGTTTTGTCCTCCTAATTCAGGATTTGAAATGTGTTTTAATTTTTCTTTTCTTTTTCTTTGTTTTTGAAGAATTGCTTTGAAAAGTTCTGAACTCCTTTATATATATGGTTCCTTGGATTCGAGAGTAAGAGCCTTGGTGTTCAGCTTGCGGTTTTGGGCCCGAGCACACTCACTAACAAGCAGTATTCCTGGAGCTTGGATCACTAACTTCTCCCTGACAGTGATGGTCATCTTTTTCCTCCAAAGAAGGTCACCTCCTATTCTTCCAACTCTGGATTCCTTGAAGTCCCTAGCAGGTAAGACTAGAAGCAGTTTTGTTTCCTCTTTCTGACATACAGACCTTTACCATGTGTAATCAATGCATGTAAGACATGTCATTTGCTTCTTGATTTTTTTTTTTTTGAGGGGTCTTTTTGAGACAGGGTCTCCCTGTAGCCCCAGCTGTCCTGGAACTCACTATGTAGACCAGGCTGGCCTTGAACTCACAGAGATCTGCCTGCCTTTGCCTCCCGAGTGCTGGGATTAAAGGCATGCGCCACCACATCCGGCTGCTTTTTGATTTTTAAATCCAAAAGTAAATAGAAGTAAATTTTAATTGTGAGTGTAGATTTGAAATGCTTTGGGTATGTGTGCCCACCAGGGGTCATGAGAGCAGCTATTGTCTAGTTGAGCCTTTGGAATTGAGAGCTGTGGCTTTCTCTATCAATTGGCAACTGGTTTAAAGCAGCCATAGGACAGTCGGAGCCTCTCACTTAGTTGACCAAATCTAAGATGACATTGAAAAAAACACCAGATGCAGCTTTGGATTGGATTGCAGTTTCAAGGCTTCCCAAATCTGAGCCACTCCAGACTTAAAACTGTGGTACCTAAAACTGCTTTGTGATGGCTTAAAGATTCTTAGTGTGGTTTAGTTAAGTTTATAGTCTGTCTTAGATGTGTACTATTTTAAATTCGACATACTATTTGTTATGAATAAGTTGAAATTTTGATAGCTTGCTGGAGGAGATGTTAAAATACCACAGTTCTGAATTGTAAAAGGAGAGTAGGGGATTTGTATAGAATGTATATTAACCCTTACATTCTTATTAAGGTTCATTTTGCTTCAAGATAATTCTTAAGTGTATCCTTGAGTCTCCTGTTTAAAATAACCCTAAAAGAAATTTTATTCTACCTAACGAGCCTTGAACTAATGGTGTTTAGAACCATTGACTATCCAGCTATACCCTCTTCCACTGTTCCTCTTTATATATGTTCACCCTGTGCTACGATCGTTCTCATAATGTTTGTCTTTGTGTGTGCACTTCTTCCTTGGTGTCTTTCATTGACAAAGGAGCATTCAGAAGATAAGACAAACATAGACGCAATGCAGGTGGAGTCTCATCCACGAGCACCTTATAAATACCCCTTCCTGTTCAGCTCCTGATGTGTGCACTGATGTTTAATAGTAAGAAGTCTTTATGGTGAGAAATCATGGAGCTGTAAACAGAACTGAGGCCAGTTTGTATAAGAGAATATTCCTGAGCATCTCCTCTGGTTCTGTCCCCGTCTCAGCTGTCATCCCAAGTCAGGCCTGCCTCCCTGGCACGGCTTTCATGGTCTTCTCCCTTTGCCTCCAGCGTACTTCCTGCCAGATGCCAGCAGAGTGGTTTTCCAGAGTACGTATCTGATAGGAGGATTCTCTCTTGAAACCCTTTAGTAGCTTCCTAAATCTACCAGTTATTTTTAGTAAAATAATACAATTTATAGGCAAAATGTATATATTGAGGGCTGGCGATGTAGCTCATTGGTAGAGCACTTGCCTAGTGTATGGGGGGTTCTGAGTTCAATTTCAAGAATAGCCAAAAAAAAAAAATTGTTTTTGTTCTAAACCATTTAAAAATAGTTTTTAGTATATTCTATCTTTGCGCCATCAAAATAGACAAAACTAATTTAGAAATCCCATGAAGGTATTCAGTTGATTAAATTTGTTTTCAAACACCATCAGAGGCATTTTCAGGCTGTTGTTTGCAGTTAGTTCTCTAAATAGCACATTGTAGGTATGAACTGTCAATGTAAGACAACATTTGTACTTTTTGCTTACTTTTTAATTTTTGGTTTTGAAATTGCCGTAAAAGAATTTTTTATGAATGTTAATGCAGTAAAAATCTCTCTGAGAAGAATCTATCAAAATATTTTTTCCTGCCGGGCATAGTGGCACACGCCTTTAATTCCAGCACTTGGGAGGCAGAGGCAGGCGGATCTTTGTGAGTTCAAGGCCAACCTGGTCCAGGTGAGTTCCAGGACAGCTGGGGCTACAAGGAGACCCTGTCTCAAAAAAGACTATATATATATATCTCCTATTCATGTATTCAAAATTATGGTATTAATACTTTTGATTTTTAGACATCTGACATTGATGGGGATTTAAAAGTATATGGTTAAGAATTAAAACATTGTTCAGAAAATTCTGAGACCCTCAGTCAGGTCTCTTTCATTAATCAGTTGGATGGCTGTAATCAAATATTTGATTTCTTCTGTGCCTCTCATTTGATATGCAAAGTCCTAACAATTTGATCTCTTTCAGTGATTTTTTTTTTTTAAAATTTTTCTTGCTTGTTTGCTTACAGCTTGAATTCCCAGGACATCTTTCAGAACTTCTAGGACTTTGTAAAACACTGTTTAGAACCTAGGCTAAGGTCAAAGCCCAACTTTTCAGCATTGTATACAGGCCTTTTGTGTTCTTCCTCCTTCTTTGCACCTCCTCTGTTGATCACTGGGACCTTTCTAAACTCTGTGCTGATCTCTGATGGTTTAGCCCCTCTCTCTACCTCTGTGCCTTTGCCTGTAGTGGCTTCTAGTCTTGTCTCTATTTACATGGAGAGCCTCCTCAAAATGTGTTAGGATGGAAGAAGATAAACCGGTACTGTATGGCTGTCCTTGCTAGGGCTTTCCTGGCTGTGTTCCCTGTCTTCTAGCAGCGCCTGTACTTCACCTAGTAAATGGTTGTAGATCTACCACCTGTCTCCCTTCCTTAAGGGTTCTCTAAGATGGGCTGATTGTGGTTCATCTTTTCATCCTCCATTCCTGACCTAGTGTTGGGTCCAAAGTAGTCTAGTGAATACATTCCAAGTGGCTACATGGATGTTTTAGCATTGATGGCTGTTTTGCTGGGTAAGGTAGGCCATGTTGGTGACTTTGATATTCCCTCTGGGTTTCTTTACACGGGTCTCATCATTTCTTGTGTCTCTTACCATTTTGGGGTTTGCTGCCTTTCTTATACTTCTGTGCTCAGTGCTTTTATACAGTATTTTTCTCTTTTAAGTGTCTGATCAGATGGGTTTTGAAGGATGAATTGGGAATTTGAGGAAGAATGACTAGGTAGCATCTTCAGTAGTGATGCACAGACCACCATGTGTTGATGTGTGATTCAATAACTATTTAGTGCTAACTTGTGCCAGATACTACACACACAAACAGACACACACACAGGCAACATACACATGATCATGCATCCTGTACTCTGTCTTCCCAGCAACTCTTGGAGGCAGTGATAAACAAATCTGTGAGGTTATCCAAATTTCTCAAGTTCACATTGCTAGAACATGTTAGAGTTTGAATTCAAACCTAAGCACATTTCAGAACTTTAAAAAGCTGAAGTATAACACACTTAGAAGTTTATGTGTCTACTGATTTTCACTAACTGAACACACCTGTGAAACCATGTGAAAGTCTCCAGAAATTTCTCCCATACGAGGCAGCATTATGGTATGTATTCTCTGGGTCTGATGCTTTTTAAAAGGGAAATAAACATGAAGTTTGCACTTTTCATCTTCATTTCCCTTCCTCTGGGCTCAGAGGAAATAACATTTCTTCTGCTTTTCTGGGCTGTTCCATGTGCTTCTCTTATTTGTTATGACAGTAGTTTCCAAAGAATAGTCTGTGAATCACCTGTATACCAAAATCATGTCAGTTACTTAAATCACATTTTGGAGCCCTCTCAGCAGCCCTGCGGTAGACTCAGATCTGCTTTCTGAACTTATGGCCCACTGATTGCCCTTTTGAGCGTCCCACTCATCTGTGGGGTTTTCTAATATGACATTTGCTGGGCACATGCTTTTAATTGTGATGGGTTTAAATCAGCTCCTGTAGGGATTGCACTTTTGAAACTCTTTGAACTCTAACCTCTGTCATGAAGATAATCTTTACATTTTCTCTGTACATTTTATGGTCTTATTCTTAGCTCTGCTATCTATTTCGGTATTTCAAGTAACATGTACAGTTGAGATCAGAGTTCTATTGGGCCTGTGGATGTCCTGTCATTACACTGTTTTAAAATAGAGCACACTTTCTCCATTTGAGTTGGTTTTGTACCTTGATCGAAACTAAAAACCATATTTATATGGCTCCATATTATTATATTATTATATGGGACCCATAATATGGGTCCATATTTATATATATGGGTCTTCTTCTGGGCTAGCTCATCTGTTGCTGTCTCTGTCTCTCTCAGGCAATACTGCACTGTTTTGGTTGCTATAGCTTTGTATTATTGTAACATTACATAACATGATTGCCACAATTTTATTCTTTTCAAAATTGTTAAAATGATTTTCACTATTTTATTTTTAATTTCCAAACCTGCCCATGTATATCTGCAGAGAATTCTGCTGAGTCTTTGAAAGGAGAATTGATATCTTAGTCTGGTCATCTAGGTATTTTTAAAACATTAATTTATGGGGTTGAAGAGATGGCTCAGCAGTTAACCCAGCACCCATGTGGTGGCTGATAGCTATCTGTAACTCCAGTTCCAGGGAATACAAAGCCCTCTTCTGGCCTCCTTGAGAATTGCATGACATGGGTGCACTTACATACTTACAGGCAAAGCACTCATACACATAAAATATAAATAAATAATTTATTCTTTGACAGTTTCATACATGTATTAATACATTTTGGTCCCATTGACTTCCCCTTCCTCCCACTGATCCCTTCCCATCCTCCTATCAAGGCCCCATCCTACTTTCATTTTAATTGCATGCATGCTGTCTGGGTGATAAAGAAAAAAAAGAAAGAAAAAGCAGAGATAAGAAGGGAGAAGACTTGATAAAGGAGCTGTTTGTTAGGTTTGAGTACCTGAGGGTTTTGCAGAAACAAAGATGACTTTATCATAAATCAAAATGCTTTCAAGTTTTAATGTATCAGAAATCCTTTTAGAGGAAAGCAACACTCATAGAGAAAGCCTCAGGGTTTTAGTGATATGTATGTCTAGAAATATTTTAATGTGGCTCACATTCTTCTGCGTTGGTAATATTTTGAATCAGAGACACATTCCTAAAAGAAGGCACAGCAGCTGAAAGACTGACTATATATGACTTTTGCTGTGTCAGAAAAACACATAACCCATTATCACTTGACATAAAGTGTGTGCCCTGATTCCAAGGGGTAGATCCAAAGAGCAGCATTGCACAGCCAGGTGCGCTAGCTGTGTGCTACTGTGGCTTTGGGCACATGATAGCGCCATGTACTGTAGAGGGGAGCTGTGCAGGATGCATGCGGAAATGAGTAGAGGATGAACTGGGTCCTACTCCTCTCTCAAGGATATGCCTCAGTGGCATTACCACAGCCTCCCAAGAGCACCATACTGGGAACCAAGCCTAATACATGGGCCTTTGAGGGCACACCCCAAAATGGAGCAGTTGAGCACATAGAATTGGGGGGAAACTATGTCAGTAGCTTAGATCTCAATTTAAAAAATTATAAGCATCACAAAAAAGGTAGATAGGTTTGAAGGAATCTATTTATGTTTCTCTAGTTTTTCTCTGGAGATTATAGAGAGCCACAATCAAATGTCCATAATTAGTCATATTATTAAATGTTTGCTATACATTAGACATGATTGTGGGTCAGACTGTAGGGGAAGAGATAATCACGGGACGGTGGCCTTTGTATTCCCAGATTGGGATAGAGGGAATTAGGGAATATTCAGAGAGGAATGGCCTCTGATTAGATTTGTGAGATTGGAGTTCGCTTTTCAGAATAGCATCCTGCACATGGTATGGTGAAACGTGAACTAGTATGGACCAGAGATTTCATGGTGGCTGTGGACTTAGCAAAAAAAGGAAAATGATTACCTCTGAAGATAGAGAAGCTAGTAGGAGTCAAATGCCCAAGTCCCAAGTGTTCCTCTGTTTGTTTTACTGAATTACTGAATTCCAGTCACTCTGGGAGTTCTTCATTTGAGAAATTAACAGAAGTTTTAAAAACACCTCAGAACAATCAGTTTGTGTCATGTATGAGATATTGGATCAAAGCATTAGAAAGTGTAAAGAATGGAAATCTCAGTTAAGTATTGATTAAGGACGTGCCAAAGTTTGTTTCATGAAAGATAGACACTCCATGTGTTTTCATTTATAACTGGACAGTTGAATAGTTCAAAAGATGGATTAGAGTCATTGAATTGTTAGAAGATAGTTACAGTGTGCTGAAGGAAATGCAAAGTTAATTTCACTTGTATAGTTAGACTTAAATCTTCTTAGTGGTGTTTTAAATTCTATAAATATATAAAACATTGACTAATAGGGCTTATTAATATATAACTTTGATTTATTTAAATCATAGATCCCTATTCTGAAGTAGGAAGCCTCTTCAAAGTGTGAAACTTTTTTGTCTCTATTTGTTTAAGATGCCGAAGATAGATGTGTAATAGAAGGAAGCAATTGTACATTTATCCAGGACTTGAATAAAATTAAACCCTCAGGAAACACGGAAACATTAGGTAAGTCTTTTTCTTTTTGTTTGTTTTTTTTTCAATTCAGACAGATTTTGCTCTGATTTTCTTTATCTTATTTCTTTGCAGAATTACTACTGAAGGAATTTTTTGAGTATTTTGGCAATTTCTCTTTCAATAAAAATTCCATAAACATTCGACAGGTAATGATGTGTTAGTGTTTGTTTATAAGGTTTCTGATCTTCTGTTGTACTAACATTTTCAATTATCTTCATTTTTAAAGCACTCTAATAAATTAATAAATGCTATAGTAAGCCATGAGATCGAAACCTTGAAGGGCTGTGTGACTCATCCATTGCCAGAAGAAAGACAGGCAGCTCTGTGGCATCCATCTGCCATTGTCACATGCCATGGTCTTTACTTACTGCTAAGAACATATTCTTCAAGATGTGGAAAAATATCATGAAAGTTTTCTGGAAATCACAATTTTATATTGTAGTTGTTTTAAACTATAGGTGTGTTCGAGTGGAAGAATTTATTTTATGTATTTTTGAGACAAGTTTTGTCATGTATGTACACCTAGATTGGCCTTGGACTTGTGGTCCTCTTGCTTCCACATCCCAAGTGCTAGGGTTACAGGCATTTGCCACTCCCCCAGCACTGTGGAAGAAATTTGATGCCAGGTCCTAAGAATAGATTTGTTATCCACTCTTAATTTAGTCATGCCAGTTTATAAAGATGATTTTTTTTTTTAAATTATGTGTATGTAGTTGTGTCTCTGTGTGGTTATATTTACATGATTGCAGGTGCCCAAGGAGGCCAGGAGAGTTTTGGATCTCCTGAGAGTAGTTGTGAGGCACCCAACATAGGTACTAGGAACTGAACTCTGCTCTTCTGCAGGAGTAAGTGCTTCGGCCCCAAAGTCTGTCAGTTTGTGGTTTTGATGGTTCTTAGAAACTCAGATGATTCTCTGTGTGTATGTCTGTGTGTGTGTGTCTGTGTGCGCACACATGCGTGTACTTTAGTGGGGATGGAACCCAGGTAGGGACTTGTTTATGGGCAAGTGCTTTATCACTAAGCCACATCGTTAGCCCCACTTTTTCTTTTTTTCTCACTAGTCAGGGTAGAACTCTAAGCAGAATGTTTTCAGTTAAGAGGGTGCTCTGTTTGGATTTACTCTGTTTTGTCTGGATTGCTGGCTACAAACCCTGTAAAAATAGCTTCATAAACTATAAACCCAGATCCTCCTTTTTGCTGTCTTCAGGTCTCCTGGTCCTGTCATGGAGACATTGGAGTGTGGGGAAGGACACTGAAAGCCCTGGAGTGCAGACTAAAGGAAAGCAGCTCTTTACTTAGGACAGCAGGACCCTGTTGCATATCATTGAGAAGTTAGGGGATAAATAGCTGCTGTTATGTTGGACAGCCCTGATCACTAACTTGGACGTATTGAAGGGATGTTTGGGGATCAACTGAAAGAGGGGAAAGGGGCAGGCTGTGGCTGCTCACCTGAGTTGTAGTTTTCTGTTTCATTTCTGTATAGTATACTCTCATGTGGAAAAGCCTCCCCGTTGGATCTTTAGAAATGTAATGGAAGCTTTCCAATGTTCTAAATGAATAAAATCCAGTGGTCCTCTCTTCCTTTTTCATTTCATGCTTAGTAAATTAGTTACTTGTATAATTAAAAAATTCTACTTTTGTGTCTTAGTACTTCTGTAATAGGTATGTTTTTACCAAGTCTCAAAAGTATCTCCTTCCGCTCTCCCTCCCTTCTCTCCTTCCCTCTTTCCCTCCCTTTCTCCCCCCCGACCCCCATCCTTCTTATTTGGATCTTGCTATGTAAACCAGGCTAGCCTGGAACTTGAGATCCTTCTACTTTAGCTTCCTGTGTACTAGCACTGTGTAAGTGTCTACCACATCAACTGCATTTTCTATTTTCTATTTTTTTTTTGTTCTTCCTATTCCAGCTCTTATCCTTTTAAGTAGAAGTTACATTATGCAATGTGGAAATGACGTAAATGAACTTAATCTGAACTAAATGATTTTCAGTTAACCCAGCAAAACCATGTGCTCTTGTGTCTTCTGACCTGGACATCTGATCTTGTTTCCTTGGCAACCTCAGTTTGCTTCCCCACACAAATAGATAATGAATGAATGTGGATGTGCTTGAGAATTAACCTATCAAAGCGCTGAAAGCAGGCGCACCATCTCTGTTGCACAAAATGGAGGTTGGGAAGGTTGGAGACCTTGGGTGAATGAGGTATTCTTGAACTAAGGATGGAAAGGCCAGAGGGTAGAACCAAGCTTGTGCTTCCCTAGCAGAATCTGGAGAAACCATTTTGAATAAAATTACAGGTGGGCCTGGCTCAAGGACACAGTTCCAGGGACGGGGTTTCAACAGACAGTTCCATCAGCACAGTTCCAGGAGACAAGAGGGTTCCAAGAGATCTCTAGGGGAATAAGTGTCCTCCAAGATCCAGCCCATGCTTAAAAACTGAATGTAAGAGTTAGGCTTTTTGTTCAGGTGATTATGTTAGTGTAGTAACGCTGTAATGCAAAAAATATTTTTGTTGACCTAGACCCAATATCTGTCATCTGAATGGTGACATCGTCCATAAGATCATAAACCTGAGTTATCTTCTTCAGAGAATATCCATAGAATATGGGTGAAAGAAAAACTAGTGACAGACATACTCAAGTACCACACATGAATGTCCAGGCCCATTAGGGAAGCAGTGCTTTACTCTGTAGTCTTTTGCTGGTGTTGTATGTGTTCTTGACAGTTAAGCCCTTCTTACATTTGTGCATTTTCTGTTCTGGTGTAGGGAAAGGAGCAGAATAAGCCTGATTCCTCTCCTCTGCACATCCAGAATCCTTTTGAACCTTCTCTCAACATAAGCAAAAATGTCAGTCAGAGCCAGCTACAAAAATTGGTGGATTTGGCTAGAGAAAGTGCCTGGATTTTGCAACAGGAAGATAGACATCAGCCTTCTCCTTCCAGTAAAAGGCCCTGGGGGCTGACCACCCTCCTGATACCTACAGCAGGCAGCAAGTTTCTCCCCAAGAAGAAAAGGAAAAAGCCCGTGAGTGAAAGAGTCAAAAGCTTATTAGAGTCCATAAAAGATAACAGTCCAGAGAGTTCCACGAATACTGATGGGAAAACAGCGATGTCATGATGGCAGACGTTTTGTGCCAAGAACATGTTTTGGACTACCTGGAAAAACTGCTGAGAAGCTTTGACAGCCTTTAACTTTCATCTGGTATTACTTGTCACAATCTCTTCACCCTTTCATTTGATCTGAAGTTCTGGATGTTACTTTCTGACCAGGTTGAATTTTATAAAAACATCAGCCACAAAAAAATGGGCAAAAAGATCAGAACATATTTTAAACTCTGAAGTGCATAGAAAAAAAAAAAAAAATTCCACAAGCAAACCAGTTGGTATCTGTGTCAGTACCTAGTTGAAAAACATTTCAGAATTCTAGTTATCTATATAAATAGACAATGAGCATAATAAAGCTCCAAGATTTGGTAATCCTCTTCAATAGTATTCCATTTTTCAGCTAAAGTGCTCTATTATGCTTTCTGTTATCTGATTAGTATATAAAGGAACGGGTTTTGACGTGGACTCCTCCTGCAGACTTTGTTTTTGTTGCTCCATTTCTAATGCCTCTTCCCATCCAGACCCTAACCCTACCCCCATACTCCCTCCCCTGGTCTACTTGCTCCCAGTTTGCTCCTCCTATTTTCTTGTATTCTTCTCTGTTTTTCCCTCTCTAGCCCACCTATAAGATCCATCCATGATCCCCTTTCTAGATTCATGATCTTAACACCCCCCCAACACCCTATAAATTTTAAAAGTGAAGCCTGGGGTCCATATGGGATAGTAGATGTCTTTCTGGTCTGGGATACTTCATCAACCAGAGTATTACAATTACAGCAGGTTGGTTTGATAACCAAAAATGTGTCTCTAAAACATGAAAATGTAGACACTTCAGTTACTCCATTTGGAGTTGTTCGAAGATATAAAAATAATATTTGGGTTTTGTTTTCAAAAATAAAACTTTTTACTAAAACATGATTCAGGATCTAATGTTTCTTTTTGAGAACTTTCCTCTCCTTGTAAGGGACAGATGCAAACAGAAATGTATATTCCATGTGGAGTAGCTTCGGAGTAAGACACAGATGGTGTAAAGTTCAAGAACACAGACTTGAGGCAGCCTGGCTCCATGGCAAGTTGATCTCTTCTGGCTTCAGCTGTAAATGGCTACACCATGGGAGTAATAATAGTGCCCATGGCAGCAGTGTGTAACAGTGCGCGCTGCACTACAGTGTTGTGACTCCTACATGAGGTACCAGAAAGGTGTTAGGTCAAAGCCGACACAATAAATATTACAGGTTGAGTATTTCTTATCCTAAGTCCTACAAGCACAGCTCTTTCAGCTCTTTAAATATGTGTATTCATAATGACATAATATGTATATATGGTGGCAGACCTTGGAGGCAAGACCCAGGTAAGCATCTCATGTAGTTTTGCTCTAAAGATATGTAGCCTAATGGTAATTTATTGTTAAATAGTTTTGTCCGTGAAGCCATTTGACAATTGATACTTTCTACATGCGGGGTCATATACTTAAGTTTTCACATTTTAAATAATATTTTTAAGTTACATGTATGAGTGTATTGCTTGCATGTATGTAAGGGCACTCATGTCATGCAATGTGTAGAGGACAGAAGAGGGTGTCAGATCCCCTAGAACTGGAGTTATAGACAGTGTGCTCTTAACCACATAGTCATCTAGCCCCTCAAGTTTTCACATTTTATAGTATTTTAGATTTTTCTTTTTTTCCCCTTTTTAAAATTTTTTTATATGTATGAGTGTTAGGCCTGCATGTGTGTAAGTGCACCCGTGTCTCGCAGTGCCTAAAGAGGACAGAAGAGGGCGTCAGATCCCCTGGAACTAGAGTTACAGGCAGTTGTTAGCTGCAATGTGGGTGCTGGGATTTGAACCCAGGTGTCTGCAAGAACAGCCAGTGCTCTTCACTGCTGGGCCAGCCCTCCAGCCCTTCATTTTGGATTTTTCAAATTAGGGAATGCCTGCTTCTTTAGCTCTGTTGTTTTTCTTTGGCTTTAGCAGCTTGGGGTGGAACCTAGTCTTATGCAGGTAAGCTCTCTGCTACTGAGCTGTGTCTCTGGCTCTTAGCTGCTATTAGTGTGTGTGGTATATATTTTTCTTGCTACTCAAGAAAAGTTCAAACTTAAGACTTTGTAGTGTTCTTAAACTTTTTAAGTTTTAGATCAGAGTGGAATGAGCGTGGGGTGTTTTGAGGACAGCAGCAGCAGCAGGGGTCTGAAGCAAAGCTGCTCACTGGACTGCTGTTGGAGCTTACCTCTGAAGCCAAGCAAGAAAGTTCTTTCCTGCTGGTGGTACCTAACAAAAGCTACTCTCATTTCTGCTCTAAGTTTATTTTGATAGGTATAAGTTTATTGAGATAGAAATCAGTGTTGACTTAAAACACAACTATTTAAAGGTTTCTAAGTAAAGTTATTCTTTTTTCCCTAGTCACAAATGTTTGGTCAGAAATTACCTTTTTTTTTGTGTTGATTTTAAATTGTAAGTTATGTAAGCACATAAAATGTATACATATACTAGCGTTCATTTTTGAAATTTATACTCTACTCTCCCACCTTGACACTGGTGTCTGTTTTCAGAATATGTGATGAATTTTAATACACAAAATTGGTGGTGCTGTTGGGGAGGTCATGGAATCTAGGAGGTGTGACCTTGCTGGAGGAAGTGTGTCATGGTGACAAGATTTGAGAAAAACCCTTTCTTCCATAAGTTGATTTTGATCATGGTGCTTTATCACAGCACCAGAAAAAATACAGAAGGATAAGGAAAAAGGTTTTCCCCTTGGTATTACTGTACTTCTGCACTGTTGGCCTATCATGAACTTTATTCAGTATATGAAAACAGTTTTGATGGGAGATGGCCTAGATGAAATGAATTTCAGCTACATATCATTCCAGATTTTATAGCCTAGCAGTATAATTCCTAAGGTTATCCATCTAGAAAAGTCAGCAATTAACCAGAAATGTTTTCAAAAATGAGAATTAGCTGGAGTCAGTCTAGGAAAACGATGTATCTTGTGTGTCACTCTGTCCCAGCAGTAATATGGAAGGGAAAAAAAAAGAATGAAGTAAAGCATTCTGCTTACCCCTTCTTGCTTTGGCTGCACACCACAGAAGAGGTCAGGATTCATTGTTTTAGTCATGTTCTAGTATTTCTTGGCCTTAAAGACCCATCTTGTACTCCTTTCAGCCTGCTGATGCCACAGCAGGAGAAAGCTGCCTTTGCATCTCTGAGTACACAGACCCAGGGACATCTGCACAAAGCCATGGGAAGGCACAACCACACAGGCAGCCCAGCTCCCTGCTTCCTGCATCAGTTGGTGAGTAGCTGTCACTGGGTCTTGGCTCAGTATCTCTGCTAACTGGGAGTGGAACATTCAAAATGCTATGGAACTGAAATAACTATTTCTGTCTGGCATGATCAGGTGATTTAGGGTAGATCTTGAGGGGACAGTGCATCGGCAGGGAGGGATTAGAAGATTGTTCGGGAAAGGGAGCAGGAGTCAGAAGGAGAGCCGCCTGTGGACCTGGAGGTCCATCACTGTGAAGAGTTAAATTGAACAAGATTATGAAAACTGCCAACTGCAAGTTAAGGGTATTTTCAGTGATGAGGATTTTGTGCCAGTGAGTAATTAAAGCAGTGTTCTTAGCTGATCACCAGCTCTTACCAACTAGTTTTAATAGCAAAGCTGAGTGGCATAGGCCCCATCAAGTTAGAGCTTATTTGGTCGTTGGTTTTGTGGAAAGGATCAGAGGCTGACTGACTCTCATGTATCAAGGAGAGTCTCCTTGATAATTTAGTTTAAAAGAAAAGCTTCAGGAGTTTCCCAGCAGGAAGCGTCAGGTCATGGCTGACAGAATTTTATGTGAAGCCTCATTAATGAGAACCTCTTTGTAATATATATTTGGAAAGGAATGAAACATGACTAGAAATCACTTTTCACCCTGGTATGATATCAGGAGATTTATTTGAAGAACTAAAAGATTTATTTTGATTTCCATGCTGAATCCAATTATTTGTGGATTCAGATTCCAAAGCATATAAACATTACAGCATTCTTCTGGATTTCCCATAGAGCAGCTCCCAGAAAGTATCTGTTGTGGATGGGCCCCTTGATCTGTAGTGTCTGTGGCATGGGGTATAGAAAATCACCACCAATTACTCAAGATACCTTTTGTCTGAAATGTGAATCTTACCTCTCCTGGATGTATCCACCTGCCTTTAAGTACTCAATGGAGTCAAAGCTGCATTAAAGGCATAATTCACTTTTTCCCCTGTTTATTCTTAGATGAGCACCTTAAATCATTTCCTTCCTACAACAAAGTTTCTAGACTTCAGAATGTGATACCAAGATCTATTTTACAAAGTGTGTCAAGCTGGTGAGATGGCTCAGCAGCTAAAATGTTTGTTGTGCAAGCATGAGGAATTGAGTTCAGATCTCCAGCTTGTAAAAACCAGTTGTTGTGACACACGTCCGTCAGCTAAGCACTGGAGGAGCAGAGACAGGTGGATCCTGGGGGCTCAGGCTCACTGGCCAGCTAGTCTAGATGAAAAGGTGAGCCCCAGGCTCAGAGAGATCCTGTCTCAAGGGAATACACGGGAGCATGATAGAGGAAGACACCCAAAGTTGACCTCTGGCCTACATACATGTACATAGGCTCTTGCATGTACACAAACAGGAAAACAACACATGTACAATTAAAGAAAGAGTACCTCAGATCTGGGTGTGATGTGGAGAGCTAGGTGTGATATGGAAAGCTAGGTGTGATGTGGGGAGCTGAGTGTGATGTGGTACACTCCTGCAATCCCAACACTTGGGAGCCAGAAGCAGGAGATTGAGAATTCAAAGCCAGCCTAGGTTGCATAGTGAGATTCTGTCTCAAAAAACAGCAACAAAAAAGTCTCAGATATAATTTGACACTATAAGTAAGTGTGACTAAATGCATTATGCTTATAAAATAGGTTAACATCATGTCAGTGCTTGGATTTGACTGCAGAGCATTTCTGATTTTGAATTTCAGATTAGGGGTACTCAATGGGAAATGTCTGTGTAGCCATTCAAAAATCCAACTAACATCTGAAGTACATCTGGTCCCAAGCATGTTGGGTAATCTAGGCCTAATCTGGATTGTGTCATCTAAATTAATGAAAATAAAGTTCTAGACTGTTGTTTCTATCTGGCTTTTTTTAAATAAGTGTACAACACTGAAACCTTACTGCAGTGGATACTGGCAAATCAAATGAAGCAAATTAATGATATCACAAATCAAATGTGCATTGGGTTCCCTACCACCAACATTCCTTAATGTGGTAAACCACATTGCTAGTTACTAGTACTTGGCTTAGAGATATTTAGCTGGGATTTTCATTAAGCTTGGATATGGTTATTGTGCCTGGGCTTAGTGGAATGAGAAAGCATGATGTCCTCTCCATTTCTACTCCATTTTAAAAACTCACATAAAAGGTTATCTTTGAAGCTGGCTAATGTCCTGCAGGGATGAGGCTCACCAATAATCATATTGGATTTCACTATCGAAAATGTTGAATACAGGCAAAAATAGACAGAAGAATGTAATAATCTTGCATAGATTTGTTACCTGTTTGGACAGTTAACTTGGCAAATTTTCTCAAATATGTAACCCACTAACTTGCCACCTCTACTATCTCCACCACTATTATTTGAAACAAATTCCAGTCATCTTACCATTTTATCTATAAAACATGCCAGTATAGCCAGGCGTGGTGGCGCATGCCTTTAATCCCAGCACTCAGGAGGCAGAGGCAGGC